CCTCCCTGGTACCCCATGTCCCTCCCCATCACCTGCCCCACACGGTTCCTTCCCCGGGTGGTCGGTATGGCTTTCCCAGACCTTTTTTCTCCACGGGGCCATGCTCTGTAAGCCAATTTCTCCTCTCGGGTCTGCACCGCTTTCCCCAGTGAGGATTACAAGCGGCACTTCGCCCCCCGGGACCTGCTGGTGTTTTCAGCTCATCCCCTCCTGGTTTATCCCACCCACTACGCTGGGGACAGCAACTGGCTGAGTGACACCGAGACCTCCACCATCTGGGACGATGATACCAAGAAGACAGATTGGGCTGGCTCACAGAAGACCCTGAGGGACTCACGGGGCAGCGCTGGCCACCTCCGCTCCACCGCCCGTGACGAGCTCTGAGGGTGAGCAAGGACGTGGGACCTACACATGCGGGGACAGGGACAGGGGACAGAGCGTCTGGGAAGCATCTCCCTGCAAGCACACTGTTCAGATGTGTCCCAAATGCCTGGTTTCTCTTTGCCATGTGGCAGCAGCTTTCCCCATCAGACTCAAAGCATTGGGAAACAGAGACAAGACCTTCTCTTCCAGGCAGGAAGAGGGATGGGGTTGCAGATGTCCTACGTTGGGCTGCACTGGGCTGGAGGGGACCAGGGGTCCAGGTCCTGCTGCTCCCTGAGTCTGTGCAGCTCCCAGTCTGTGAGGGAGGGACAAAGCTCCTTTGCTTCCTGCAGAAGTCACCCGAGTTTAGGGAGAGCTGAGGGCATCTCGCAGGGGAAAGTTTCACCCCGGCACTGCTGTTCCCCCCCCAAAAGCCAGTCTCCCCAGGGGCAGCTGTGCAGGCAGCCAGCATCTGCACTCGCTCAGCCCCGCCACGGTTAACGCCGGGTCAGACTTTCCCTGTCTGAGGTTGCTTGTGCTGGCAGTGGAGCCTCCTCGGGAGCAGCCAGACCGGGGGAGGCTGGAAAACAAGAAAATAACCCTCTACTGCAGGCGTGAACGTGTCGGGGCTGCTCCTGCCTTGACCACTAATGTTTGTGTCCTTGCCTCCTAGGGACAAGGGACTTTGACCCAGCTGGGAGCACCGCGGGCCAGTGGCCTGATCCTACCTGCTCCCGCCTGAGAGATGCAGCTGCCCCGGACAGACCCCTCCAGGGTCCTTCGAATCTGCACGTGGTGAATCCACCCAAGGCAGGATTTGCCCCAGGGCTCCCGGAGAGCCCGTTCCCTGCCAGGTGGAGGGACTGGGACAGCGCTGTGCTCCGTCTCTGCTGAGCACACGTCTCCAGGACCATCCTGAGTGATGCCAACTCTGCCATCTCCCACCAGCTTGGACTTTGGGGAGTGTTTTTCAGGCTGGGAGCTGGCTCCTGTGGTGACACATGTGGCCTCCTGCCACTGACCGGGCTTGTCCCTTGCCTGTGCCGTGTCTGGGCTGAAGCCAAGGGAGGATTAAAGCAGAATGTGTTTGAGCTGCCGGGTGGCATTGCCCCACGTGATGTCCCCAGGGCATACCCCACCGGGGTCACCTCGGAGCTGTGGTGGCAAGGGTCTGGTGGTTCCCCCGGCCAAGGATTGCTTTGGGAATGAAATCTGTAATGGGGAAAGGGAGGGAGGAAGGTGGGGTGGGAGATGGACACAGAGCTCTCTCCCTTGTGGTTTGGCAGTAAAAAGGTGGTTGGCATTTCCATGGAGCTCAGCTCTCTCCTGGGAATGCTGATGGGAATGGTTTCCCTCACTGGCGCTAGGTTTGGCCTTGGGACTGAAAACCTGACACCAGTTTGAGCACCGAGATGTGCAGCCGAGTCCTGCTGGGCTCCGGCATCTGTCACCTCTGTGGCCAGCTCGGGAGGAGGGTGTTTGCTTTCCAAGAGCCCGGGCTTGTTTGGTGCTAAACCTCAGCTCCTTGGCAGGGTGATGTTCAGCTGAAAACTGAGGGGTTTCTGGGGTGGAGGAGCAATTTCCTTAAAAACACTGCAACCAGCCCTAGTCTGGGTGAACTGGGGAGACGTGAGCTCCCTGCCAGCCCCCCAGAGCTGCTCTCTACCTCCCTTGGCAGCTGGCTGCACCTTTTGGCCCTGCAGCAGCTGCTGGGGTCAGCCCCAGGGTTGCTGCCTTCACCCAGGGTTTGGGGGGCTGCCCCAGTCTTCTCCCCACAGCCTGGTGAAGGTGATGGAGCAGTGAGTGGAAGCCTTGGTAGCTGAGATCCACAGTGGGATGGCTGAGACCATCAGGTGCTCCAGGAGAGCATCACTGGGGACAGGATGCACAGTACAGCAGGGACCTCCTGGAGAACCAGCTCCAGGAGATCACAGGGGACCTGAAGATCTGAGTGGATCTACTGGAGAACAGGGAGGAGGTGGCCAAGTGCATGGTCTGCACAAGCGCAGGGTCCCAGCCAGTACAGGCACAGGTGACACAGCAGGGTGGAGAAGTGATGGCAGGTTGGGGACACGTTTGCCTGTCCCCTGGTTGCTACAGGAGGAGCTGGGGATGCAGCAGAGGAAGGCCTGGTGCCAGCTGGAGTGCAGGAAGGAAGCGGCAGCAGTTCTGCACTCCATGTGACCCAGTGAGGGTCCTGGTGCTGGTTCCAGCACCCGCTGGGATGCGGGCGGGG